CCACATCAAACCAAAATAAAATTCAAGAACCTACCAGGATGCTCCTTCTCTGCATCCAGGCTTCTGAAACGAGCAATCAACACTTTTGGGCTTTGGTTTCTTCCTTCTCGCTCATCTCTCAATCAATAAAAACCCCGTTTGCTTGGCACATTGCTTTCATCTTTTATCACTTCCTTCAGGAAACTCTCTAATATCAGCTCATATAGAAGTTCTCGTATTTCCAATTAAAAGCTTCGGTAACTTATACAAACTTATTGACCCTCTCATACTGTATTATAGTATTTTTATGTGATTCTTTTGCCAACTAATGCACGAGCACTGACAGAAATGTCTACGTCTTATTTGCTTGATTAGTGCTCCTAATCTGTAGTTTCCTAATTGCTTAATAAATTGAATTGAAAATCATTACAGAGAAATAACTTACGTAAAATGTTGTTTGGGGCCTTCTGGCCATTGCACATAGCAAAGAGTACGGCCTGGCATGACTTTGGTTTTGGAGTAAAGACACTGAGGGAAGGCAAGTAGAAATGCCAGGATCCAAATACCTCCAATGACAATCTTGGTGGCCGTGGCAGACAGTCTGGGTTTCAAAGGATCAATAATGGCCATATACCTATATAAAAACAAACAAGATCATTTTGTTGGTTTTCTTATTAACAGAGTTTAACGTGGAATTTCAAAGGCATTTCAATGGCCACGGTTATCGCTCTTTTGGTAAACAAGTTGATAAGGATTTTGCTTTACAGAGGCAGCACAGAACGATAATCATAGCATAGTCCCAGGAATTAGAGAGATCTAGGTTCCAATCCTATTATGACATTTGTTTAGCCTTCTTGAACCTCAGCCTCATTATTTTTAAAACTGAAATAAGAGCACACACCTCTTGGGGTAAAGTAAGGATCAATACGAATAATGTAAGTGAAAGGTATTGATTATTTAGTGCTGTGCCTAACACACCAGAATTCATAAATGCCTGCTGAATTGAATTGGAAAGACACTTAAGTGCTTAAAAATACTGGTTCCATGACTCAAAACCTTCATTTCTCTTCTGTATGCTTAAAGTTTTAAAAGAAAATTCTGGAGAAATAATATGGATAATACCTACATAATTGACAAAGATGAGAAACCCCTATGAAAGATATGGTCAATATATCCATTTAAAAGCAGCAAGAGACACGTTCAAGATTTAGATAAGAATGAATAAATTAGTATGACTGAGGCTATGAGTTCCCCTTATCCTCCATACCGAATTCATGCTGCATCATGAAAATCTTCATGGTGTTTTCTATGTAACTATGCATAATATAGCTGTAATGCGAAAATATATTTTAATCTTTAAAAAGCATACTTACATATGACTTTTAGAGTGCAACCTTTTCGGAAGTGGGGAACTCTATAAATATGGTAAAGGTAGCAAAAATATATCTGGAAGAAGTAATTTTCAGTTTTAATAGGATATAATATGGCTAGTTGTCAAATTCCGGCTAATGTTCAGAGCTAAAAATAATAGGTACCAATAAAACAAAATATTTACATTGTTTCAATTTTACTTTTGGCCATTTAATGTTTGCAGAATATATTTTTATTTATGCAAAATTTTCAAAGGCAATACTTTCATCAAGAATAAATATTACTTAAGCCAAAAACATTTTAACCTTAAGGATAAATATTTCAAAATAAGAATATTTTATCAATTTCTTACTCTTTGCTTTTGTAAGATTAGGCAGAATGAAATCTTCAGTAGATATATTGGAAATTATCCATATACTATTCTTAATAATAAATTTACTCATGATCTACCTAAAGGATTCATTCTGTATAAGAGCTAATAGGTAAACATGAAACTTAGACACAAAAAGGAATCATTTTTGTCCATTGGTGACTGGCTTATTTCACTTAGCTGCACGATTCCACATAAATGAGGTATCTAAAATAGTCAAACTCATAGAAGTAGAGAATAGAATGGTGGTTTCCAGGAGCCAATGGGTATAAAGTGTAAGGCATGCAAGATGAATAAGTTCTAGAGATCTACTATGTACCATAGTATCTATAGTTAACAACATGGTATCCTGAACTTTAGAATATGTTGAAAGGATAGATCTCGTGTTAAGTGTTCTTAACAAACCCACACACACACACACACACACATACACAAACACAAGAAAATTTTGGAGGCAATGGACATGTTTAGAACATTGTGGTGACAGCATCACAGGTGTACACATATGTCCCAACTCACCAAGATGTACACATTAAATATGTGCAATGTGTTATATATAAAGTATACCTCAATAAAGCTTACAAAAAGAGAAAAGAAAAAAATTATAAAAACAGTACCTCGGTTTAGAAAAACAAACTGAACCATACGAAGAAACACATGTATTTGAAAACACATGTATTTGAAAAGGAAGACCTTAAAATTTATCTCTTTTGCTTGTTAATGATGATAATAATAGAAACATTTATTGGTTGTTAACCATACCCAGGCATTTTATTACATACATTATATGTATTTAATATCCATAATAATCTAACCGATCAAATAATATTATTACCTCAATTTTATAGAAAAGGAAATGGAGGCTTAAAAAGATTAAGTAGATGGTTCATAATGACCCAGATAGTAAGGGAAAGAGCTGGAATTCTAAACTAGTTCTGCCAGTTCAAGACAATACATTAACAGATATAGATTATGGCTTTAGAATATAACCCTTCGTGTTAGAAATTGTGAAAGAGAAAACAATTATACGGTAACGATGTCTTCCCAAGAATCAAAAGTAACATTTGCCTTATTAATCCAAAAGCATTGATGTGTAACATTAAAAACAAAAGTCAGACACACAAAGGCGGGAATTGTAGGTGGGCATTTCTGTTCCCAGTTCTGTTGATTATAACTCATGGAGCATTTGTCATGATATAGGAATTATTTCTTTATCACTGTTTCCAGAGCCAAGCACAGCACTTGTAATAAATTTTGTTGTACTGAGCTGAATATTCCTCAACTCTATCGTAATCTTTTGCTTTTTTGCTTGACCTGATGTCTTATTAATGTAATTTGGATATTCAGACAGTTGATTCTTTTTAAACTGAAAACAGAAGTTGAGGGACATGAGCAGGGTTAGGTAGCCCTGCCCAGCCACTATAGCACAGATAATTCAAAATAAACCACAAATTTCTTATTGGATCTTTTAGTCAATTAGTCTAATTTAGAGAAATTATTTTCTGGCAAGTAGAATTGTTTTATTTGTATTATATGAAAATAATAAATTCATGTTCTCACTAACATTTTAGTGAGAGTAGAGATATTGAAACTTCTAGCTGCGGTCATTATTTCTAGTCTGATCCATTATTCATTTATTCAATAAAACAGTTATTGAATGCCTATGTAGTATTCCAAACACTGTAACGATACAACAGTGAACAAAAATGGCCTTAACAGAGCTCATGGTTTAGTGAAGTGGATAGATACTAATCAAATAATCTCACCAATGAAGTGCAAATTACAAATGTGACAAGTGTCACAAAGGCCAAGTGAATGCATTAAGTGGGAAAAACATATTTAGATTGTACGTCAATCTTCCCTAAGAAAAGTCATTTGGGGTCAGAACTTGGAATGGTGGCTAGGCAAGGTTGCAGGAGCAAGCAGGTTGCAAAGATTTCTGGGATAACAAACAGCATGTGAAAAACGTCTGTGTTGCCAGCGGGTTTTTATGGGTTGAATTGTGTCCTTCCAAAAACGACATATTGAGGTGCCAATCCCAATACCACAGAATGTGACCTTATTTGGAAATGCAGCCCTTACATAGGGAGTCAAGCTACAATGAGGGCACTAGGGTAGGTCCTACTCCAATATGACTGGTGTCCTTGTCTGAAGGGGAAATTCGGAAACAGAAAGAGACACACACAGAGAGGCCATGTGAGGATGGAGGATTGGAGGATGTGGATGCATCAGCGAGGGAAGGAAAACCACAGAGTCCCAGAAAGCCACCGGAAGGAGGATGCAAGGAAGTGTTTCCCTACAGGTTTTTTTGAGGGAGCGTGGCCTGGCCCACACCTTGATTTCAAACTTCCAGGCTCCAGAACTGTCACACAATACACTTCTATTGTTTTAAGTCAGCCAGTTTGTGGCACTGTGTTACGGCAGCCCCCAAAACCAATACGATGGGTAGGGATGGGAGAAGCTTTATGTTCCTGAGGAATGAAAGGCGACTGCAATTTTAACACAGAAAGTAAAGAGGGAAAGTGGTTTGAGATGAAGTTATAGTACAGGTTATAGATTTTCCCCCCCTATGGAAAGTAACCGAGGTGATTTAATCAGGAGAGTAAAATAATCAGATTTTCTTTAGAAAAGAGCGTCTGGCTCAGTCGGGAGAGTGGACTGGAGGAGGAAAAGAATGTAAGCAGGGAATTCGATAACCTGGCTAATGCTTTGATTTGAGTAAGATGATTTGTTGCGTGGAATAGGGCGTTACCACTGGAGGTTGGATTGAGTGAATGGTTTGAGGAAAGAACAACAACAACAAAATGCCAGAATATTGTTGTAATGAAGGAGACCCATTTGGCAAAAGACGTAGGTAGAATTGCCAGGCTTTGCTGAAGATGGATTTGAAATTGGTGATTAGGAATTCATTCTGGCACCAACATTTCCTCTTCTGCAACTTTCTCTAAC